TTTCATTTTTAGGGCAACACTTTAAAAAGTGCATGCAAAGTAATATGAAAATTCTGCAGGTTATGTCGCTGATTGTTAATGGAGGACGCCTGGAACCCCCAGTGGGTGTGCCCGATCAAATTTATAGCATCATGCTGGCTTGCTGGAGTACTGTGGATAATGATCGGCCGCGCTTTGATGATATCATCGAGAGCTTAGACTCTATGCTTCAGGTAAGTTCATAAAAGTATATGTTGGCGAAATTTAGTGCCAGCAAAGCTTTGTTGGCCAAGTAATTTTAAATTTTCCAAAAAACTTTTGCGAAACGGAGAAACGATTGTTCATGGGATATATATTTGTGTTTCCACAGAAATTCAAGCACTTCATTAAGTACCACACAAAACATCTTCGTCGTACATCTTGTTCACTTCAATCGCAAATGTTCTTTACATTGTGCTCCTCGGCAATTAAACGATTCTCATCCGTTAGTTCAGTTGTGTGTGGCCAGTAGGTCAGGACCACTGAACGCGGAACAAGGTTTTAAACTTTTTTATGCCTTGACTTTGCTTTGAAATGAGTTCAAAAATTCCGTAGCTCGCCTTATTCTGTAATTTCAAGAATAGTCTGTGAATATATGGTACATTAAAAATCTATCATTAGAAGCTAATTTTGGGCAACCATATTGCGTTGCATGTTCGCTTATAAGCCTATCATCTCAAGTTTCCAACTCACTTCGTTACAAGGTCATAGAATTAGCCTGAGTTTGAACCTGAGAGCGCAATTCAGTAAACAATGAGCTTCGGAGGCTTATTTCAAGAAATTTAACTCACTGTGCTTATATTCCCTCATTCTCAAAAATTAGTCGATTTTGTAACTTTGTTCATTACAGTCCATTTTTTCGCTTTGGCAAAACAGACTTGTCACTATAGCGTACAGTTTTTTACAGGATCCTGTTATGCAAAGTATGCCACTGCCGACGATCGTTCATCGGTTATCACAGACACAACCAGCATCAAGCAATCCTCCGTTACCAGACAGTCCCTCTTCGGTTGCCGAGTCGATCTCTCAAAATGCCTATTCGCAAAGCACAATCAACACGATGCTTAACTCATTCAGTGAGGCAGCCACACCCAGTGACTGCGTCCCGCTCCCTACAACAGGTTTGAAAATGTTCGGCTTTCTGGAAAAACAGTCGAACGCAGCTTGGTTTATCTATGTGAACAAGCAGCGCTGTACACCTGCAGAATTCATTCTTTATGAAGAAAAAAACGAGGTGGAGTGGGTAGTTCGTGTTAGATTTGAAATGTATTTGTTACACCGCGTTTTCTGGACGTGGACGATCACTGCGAGATTCGCGATACTACATATAGGAATTAGGCATAACGGTCGTTATGGCGATCTGCAGTTCCGGTAACATTGAAACATCGC